CTCAATTTTGCTTGTATAGAGTACATTTATTATTCAATTTTTTTTAGGGAGTAGATCTAAATCCTTAGAAAAAGAATGTAAAAAAGTATTAAGTTCTCATTGAGTTATTGAGGTTCAGCCAGTAGTGGCCAAGTCACAACTCAAATAGCCAACTTTTCTTCATAGCTGGTCAATAAAATCTCAGCATTCCCCAAATTTAAGATCTACTTCTCATCTGCCTAGTGATTCCAAGAATGTAAAGTCTGAGTGAAAATTGCACTCTGTATAAACAAAGAAAAAGGCCAATATAAAAATGCTGCCTTTGAAGTGAGTTATATGTGGAGTGGTACTTGGTGTTGTTAAAGTACACAAAATGTCTTGTCTTCTTTGCTTCTCAAAGACCACATCATCACAGTTTGTTTGTAATGAATATTGTTCTAATTGAAAGAAATGGGAAGGATATATAACATTAAATGGCTTTTCATGCATGACAAAACCTGGGATAAAGCTCAATAGAACTGATTTCCAAAGAATGGAATTACTATCTCACCTCCACTTGTAGCTTATAATCTCAACAAAAACCTGAAGAACCTTTCCACAAAAGATGGCACCCAATGGACCAGTATTGCAGCCTGCAGAAATAATTTATATATTTTGAAAAAGGACCCCAGACACCCTTTGTCAGCTTTGGTATGATGGTATGGTATGGTATGAGATCATTTGGTATGGTATGAGATGACATGGTATGGTATGGTAATATGGTATTGGTATGAGTGGGATATGGTATGAGTTTTCCATTCCATGGTACCATGGTATTGGTATTGAGCTCATATACCACCCTGGAATGGGTACCCTCAAGGTACCCTAAATCAAGGAATTGATGTACCTCATAGGTACCCTAAAATGGGTGACTGAAGTGGCCATATCACCCGCTCAGGCAGCTCAGCGAACACTTGTCGCTGGCTGAACACTTTCATTGCTATGTCACATGGTGATCCCGATTTCGAACACACCTCCCGACTGTTCAAGGCCATCACATGTCACATTGGCAGAACAGTCAGTCGAAATACCACAGTATTTGTTGTATGTAACAGTCTGTGTTGAATTAAAGGCAAGTCAGGAATCCTTGCCCTATTTGTTTTTTTTATACGACAACTCTGTAATCACGCTTGTCATGAACCTGTAAGAGCAATCACTAAAAAAGCCTCAGTCACCCTGTTGTCAGCGTCCACGTCTGGCTCAGCCGATACAGATGACTTGGCAAATGAAGACCAAATCATGGCAGATGTGGATGATGCCTGAATTTAAAGTACATAATATCTTTATCGGAGGAAGGACTTGTTTGATTTCAGAATACATACTAAATAATTTGAGCAGATAAAGAATTTTATTACATACTATAGGACATGTAAATTGATAGTAACACTGTATTATGGACTCGATCTCTTCACCAATATGGACATCATTCAGCGCAAGCAATGACAAGAATATACAGTGTAAAGTTATCTACATAGTCTGTACAAAGAAATTGCAAATGAAAAACAGTCCGAAAACTTATTAACCGATGAAATGATGGAGATGGTTTTTAAGTACAAGGAGGTCCATGCAAGGGGGTGGCAGAACGTGGATACCGGATATAGGGTTAGAGGGGGGGGCTCTGCTAGGGGGTCAAATTTTTTGTGACCTACCTTGGAAAAGTCCTGTCAATACAGCTGATTGCGAAACATTAGAGCAGCTTGCTTCCTGTTCCAGCTCAACCATCTGTTTGTTTGTTGATGGCTGGACATCAGCACCTTCCAAAGCAGCACCTGCTTTGCTTCAACTTTTCCAAGTCTTATCTACATACCCTCAACTCCCCCTCTCCTCAAATAATAATGGCACACAATGGTCACCGAAGACACATTGCATAACCATGCTTGCTACCACGTTGCGTCAAATGTTCTGAAAAGCCCTATTGATCTGATTTATTTGGCTTGGTGTCCGCTGCAAACAAACACACGGTTGAGCTGGAACGGGAACTGAGCTGCTCTAACATTTCGCAATCAGCTGTAAGCCAAATCATGCTCCGAAAGAAGTTGGGAAATTCAGATGCACGGCAAACACCTAATTTACATATTTACTGTCCGAAATTTTGACTGAGAATATCTAAAATCCATGTTCCGCCACCCCCTTATGCTTGTCCAAGTGGGTAAAAAATCCGCCTACATTTTAAATTTGAGATATTGTAGCGTAGAATTCTTTCTTGTACCTCTAATATATTTCCATTAACCCGCCAACATTTTTCTGGCCTGCTCAAACATGTTTTTAGTCTGCTCAAACACTTTGTAGCCCACTCAAACACTTTGGTAGCCTGCTCAAACATTGCGAAATATTATTCACTCCGCCAACATTTTCTTTAGCCCCACACACATTTTGTAAGTTGTCAAGATATATTCTGCCTCATGAGCAGATTTAATTAAGGCTTTCCATTTTAAGAATGCTGGCCTGCTGTGCTTATGTAATTGAGCTCTCTTGGCACATTCAGCACAGCCAGGGGGAGCTCTAAAGTACTTCATACACACGCATGAACATGTAATTTAATCAAAATGAATTGTTTATAAAGCTCTACTACATTGAGCTTCTTACACTTGTATGCTTCAAATGGCAAGAGCAGCTTCCCAGATATGGGAAGCTTGCTATGCCTAGAACGTGGTGAGATATCCATGTATAGCATGCGATCAGTATTGTGCGCAATGAATAAACCAATGTAAGTACTCATCTTATTCCTTGCAACTCTATCCTGACTCAAAACACCCACTTTACATAATGTATACATTCATTTTTGAAATTCCATCCTTTCTAGCATAGCGCACGCATCTTTACGTGTGTTGTTTCAATTGGTTGTAAGTAGAAAAATGAAATATAATACCTTTTGTTTTTTAAAAAACTATGTGAAAGAAAATATGGAACTCACCATTGCGTGAACAGCTTTTTCATGTGAGATGCCACTGCTCTGCAGTTTATCTGCTCAGTTCTTGCACTCCTGCGTCTGTCCGGCAGCGTTTATGCGTGGGATTAAGTCTTCGTATATACATAATTCTGGCCTTGCTTGTGTTCTTGCATGTCGTTTCGGCTCGTAGTAGGTAGTGTTGGCAATAGAGGATGAACTATATTATGTACAAGTTTCTACAGTCCTTATATACCTAATTACTATGTATCTATCTAGTGTTATCTTCATACTCGGGATTACTAAGTTAATAGTCCGATATTACTAATTAATTAAGTGCGAGAATGTACTGGCAAATGCCGGATTGTACTATTCCAACAGGTAGTAAAATGTAATGCAACACCTTCTGTTAGTGGAAAACATGTATAAGAGGTATTTCTGAAGGTATGTTTCCTCACTGTACAGTCATGGACAAACAAAGACAACAATTTTGGTGATTGTGAGATGGGGACCCTGCACAACCCTCAATATTACTTTTTATTGCAGAAACATGGAGATTAGGACCCAACACTTTGATTTACACAAGCTGATTTTTCGAAATCAATGAAATGGGAAATTTTAGCCCAAAAATATTGGCCGGACCCTGAATGAACCCTTAAAATTATGAAAAATAGCGCAATCGACTCCTTTTTCAACTCTGTTTCTGATCCTGAAGTTTGGGGAAAATCTGATGAGCTGTTCTTGTAGAAAAAAATGATTTTAAGTCACCTAAAATGGCAACTCAGAATCTTCCCACCCCCACAGACCCTCAATGAACCCTGGCCTGTTGACCCCTGTGATACTGCCCAGAGGCCATAGTCAAACAATGGTATATAGCTAGATTTGGATATCTTACATAATTATTGATCTTTTACCATCTTGTCAGCAGTCTTGCCATCCTCTTGCACTACATGTAGTGCTTTGTATATCTGTACTTCCTACAGTATGCATAATCATGTTGGGCCAGCTGAGTATCTTGTAACTGCTCATTGCTCACTTATGGGTGTTGATCCCAGATCCACCCATTCTTGCCTCCTCCTTCCCTCTTGGCTTCAGCTATGCGAGAAGTTCAGAGTGAACACTTCACAATCCCCTTCCCCTCCCCACCTTCAACACATGCATATTATTAACTTCTGATCAGAATTACAATGTTTAGCAAGTGCCACTCAACTTTTAAATGATCACTGGCATTAGGAGCCTGCCAGGGGGGGTCCCAAGACCTGTTGAAGACCCCTATGAAACGACAAAAATTGTCAAAAATTTTGGCCAACCCAATCCCTTGTGGGAAAAACTTTGGAGGGGTGTTTTTGGACGTAGTTTCGCATCCTGAGTTCGAATATGAAGTCAGATTGTCAAAATATTCATTTCTTCCCAAGCTACTGAAATTGTTGTCTTTGTTTGTCCACGACTGTATCATACTGGGTACATATGCATGGCACCTATTGCAAGGCTTGCTTGCAGGGTCTTGTGCCATGTGAAAGCTGCGACAATTTTCGAGGGGAATGTCGCAGCTTTCACACGAAGTACAGGGTCTACCGTTGAGGAAGGGAGATCAATTACTTAAGCACGGCAAGCCAGCATTCCTGAAATGGAAAGCCTTAATTAAATCTGCGCATGAGGCAGAATATATTTTGGTGACTTACAAAATGTGTGTGGGGCTAAAAGAATATGTTGGTGGAGTGAATAATATTTTGAAATGTTTGAGTGGGCTACAACAGTGTTTGAGCAGGCTACAAAAGTGTTTGAGTGGGCTACAAAGTGTTTGAGCAGACTACAAAAGTGTTTGAGCAGGCCAGAAAAATGTTGGCAGATTAACAGAAACATATTATAGGTACAGCCATCCACCCCTGAATGATACACCACCCCCATTTGATACACTTTTGTATACTTTATCGCTTCCCCAAATCATCATCGTTTTTTTTAAACAAAATTTCCTAGCTACACATACATACCGACAATCCTTCCACAAAATTTCAAGTCAATTGAACAAGTTCTGGTTCCACAGTAAAATGTTCAAAAGTGGATGTTTTGCGGACTGTGCCAAAAATGCTCTCACCCCCCAATGATACACCCATATTTGATAAATTTCTACACAACAACACAACAGAATCTTCTGAAATTTGGAGGGGTGGATCATACTGATTAACAGAGAGTTATTGTACAGTTTTTATGGGGAAGACATGCTGCTTAGAATTGAAAATTAAATTTAATGATTTCACTGTATCATTAAGGGGTGGATGACTGTACAATATTTCAAATTCAAAATGTAGGCAGATTTTTTACCCACTTGGACAAGCATACCCCCTTGGGTCCATGTGGGACAAGTTACATTGTCCAAAATCGGATACGAGTTTAAAAAAGTCCTCCACCTTGGTGTCATCCCACATATTGACAGCCGTTAAATATCCTTCATGCTTGTATAAATTAATGTTCAATTGAAATGGACCATAGCAGGCCATGCGGCTTGCTGCCCTGCATTATATGTAAGGTAGAGGACATCCACTTACTTCTAACATCACGTGTTGTTACATTTCTGTGACATCCCTTTCAAATTAGGAAAGTTTGCTCCAAGGGGGTGTCAGGATCATAATCCCGGACCAGGGGCCAGTTGGTTGGTTGGGCTATCAGGCCGTTAAAAAAAAATAGGAAGCTCAAACACTTCAGTCACCCACCTTGAACAAGCTATTAGCCTTGAAACATATAGCTATATATCCAGGCTAATAGGTTCCTTGGCCGTTTATTTTTTTGCCTCTGGAGGAAAATATATTATTGCATTGGGCAAAAATGTTTGACCAGAAATATTGTGACCAGAAATATTTGGGTTGATATATTGCATTGAAAAATATCCTAGCCATCTGAAAGTGGTCGGAAATGTTTGAAGCATGTTAGAGTGGTCGGAAATATTGAAGTGTGGGGATCCTCA